GCATAACTTTCATGATCAATACAAATGTGGAAACAAATTAATGAATAAACAAAATGTACAGGTCTGAGATATATGAGAAAAACAGTTACAAATTAAAACATTGCAGCACCTTATCATCAATCTTTTGTTTTTGACAAAAATGCATTTCTTTTAGGGGGAAAATGTAAAGATGCAACAAAATGCTGAAACAATTTAAAAACTAAGTATTGCTTGCAACAACAACAACAACAAACCGCAAAAAAAAAAAAACAAGAAAAGAAAAAAAAAACGAGAGTACAAAGTTTCCGATTATCAATTTTATAACCTATGGAATATTTATCAGTGACAATTTTTTTTCCAATCATGAACAGATGCAGCGAATATTTATAACGAGGCATATTTACAGAAATAATTTCATTGCTAAGATATAGACAAATGATGAAGTTAATAAACTTGTGTAGGTTGATCAAAGCTTTGATTGAGTCTTAAGCTAGGGAAGCCATAGCTAACATAGAGAGCTATTATCCTTGAATATCATGTTTATCTACAAATCATAAACTAGGTTAGCTATAATTAACATACAGAGATTTCAGACATGACCAAACGGTTCAATTCATCATCATCATATGCCACCTGGCATGGGCAGTCATGATTTTCTATCTCAAGCAATCATCACCATTCTTCTTAGAGTACCATGGATCTTCCCGTCTGCGTTTCGGGGCCCCACTGCGGATAACATTAAGAATAGACCCAGTACCCCCTAATAAACATGTCCTAAGAGCTGACTAAACAGAGACGTGTCCTTTAAGGCCAGAGTGCACCTGCCTGAGAGGCAAGGAACTAACAGTCTGCTTACAGATAAGACAGAACTGTAAAATAGTTTGCATGCAAAACTCAGGTTTTGGAACAAGACTAAGTCTAGAAGTGGACGAACAACCAAAACTGTTCACTAGAGTTTACAGCCGCTGAACAAGAAGAGAAACACCATGGATCAAGAACAAGAAGAGAAACACCATGGATCAAGAACAAGAAGAGAAACACCATGGATCAAGAACAAGAAGAGAAACACCATGGATCAAGAACAAGAAGAGAAACACCATGGATCAAGAACAAGAAAAACACAAGACAACCAACATGATTTGAGCATTGAGGAGAACTGGCTTACACACGGCATACTATCTCTGGCTCACACACACTGCATCCAATCTCTGGCTCACACACACTGCATACAATCTCTGGCTCACACACACTGCATCCAATCTCTGGCTCACACACACTGCATCCAATCAATCTCTGGCTCACACACACTGCATCCAATCTCTGGCTCACACACAGCATCCTATCTCTGGCTCACACACAGCATCCTATCTCTGGCTCACACACACAGCATCCTATCTCTGGCTCACACACACAGCATCCTATCTCTGGCTCACACATTACATCCTATCTCTGGCTCACACATTGCATCCTATCTCTGGCTCACATACTGCATCCTATCTCTGGCTCACATACTGCATCCTATCTCTGGCTCACATACTGCATCCTATCTCTGGCTCACACAATATATCCTATCTCTGATTCACACATTACATCCTATCTCTGGCTCACACACTGCATCCTATCTCTGGCTCACATACTGCATCCTATCTCTGGCTCACATACTGCATCCTATCTCTGGCTCACATACTGCATCCTATCTCTGGCTCACACACAGCATCCTATCTCTGGCTCACACATTACATCCTATCTCTGGCTCACACACTGCATCCTATCTCTGGCTCACACATTGCATCCTATCTCTGGCTCACACAATATATCCTATCTCTGATTCACACAATATATCCTCTGATTCACACATTATATCCTATCTCTGGCTCACACATTACATCCTATCTCTGGCTCACACAAAAACGGCATCCTATCTATGGCTCACGAACAGCATCCTATCTCTGGCTCACACACAGCATCCTATCTCTAGCTCACACACAGCATCCTATCTCTGGCTCACACACTGCATCTTATCTCTGGCTCTTTCACAGGGTTTGATTTCCAGGGGCAGGTAGTTTATTTTACAAAACAGACTTTTTCTTGTGGCTTTTGGGCAGTCGTAAAAGAGCTAACCTACGTCAAATTAACACCTGTGAAATTAGATGTCTGAGAAAAGCTGCCAGTTTAATCATGCCTTGAGACAAAGAAATGATATTATCTGACAGACTGTAGGAAAAACACTATGCTACAAATTTACTGAGAAACAGAAGATCAAATGGTTTGGTCATGTGCTAAGAATGCAGATAGAAAAACGACCAACTCAGGAGCTACACATGAAAAGATCCAAAGTGAAAGTAAGAGGCCGCCCTAGAAGAAAATGGATTGATGACATTAAAGAGCTTTTACAAGGATAAGGAATGGCAACAAGACATTGCTGCCCATCAAGCAGTGGATCGCAAACTGTTCCTCCCGACATTGCTTAACTGCAGAAGTGGAAATTGACAATAGTTGTAAAAGAGTTGAAGAGAATGGGGCATCACGAGGTAATATTTCCAAACAGAGCTAACTGCAGCCAACTTAAATTTTTCATTATTTTTTCATGAAGAGGGAGTCGCCGTGGCAGAGCGGCTAGATGCGCGCCGCGGATCGGAAGGTCGTGGGTTCGCTCCCTGGCGGAGACGGACTTTTCTTCAAAAATGACCTTGGCTCCCAGGTCGACCCAGCCTTGAGTGGGTACCGGGTGCAATCCCGGGAAGTAGAGGCGGCCGGCGTGATGCTGACCACATCACCCATCTTGTGCCGTTGGTCTATAAAAATATAGGTCTAGCCCTATATGCCCTATACGCCTAAAGGCGTGGAAAGGGTCCTTTACTTTTTTTTTTTTTTTTACTTTTCATGAAGTGCCAAATTTGTTTGTTTGTTTATCTTTAGTGTTCAGAAACCCCACTTCAGCTGTCCTTAGGTGATTTCAATGTATGTAACATTACAGACTATTTAGCGCTTCAGTGAAGCTGGTGCTACATAGATGTATCATAATCTTTACTGAGTTTTCTTGTTTTATAGCAGTATGGCCTACTCAAGGATTTAACTTGTGACCCATATCTCATCTTACTAGGTCACTCCTGTGGGCCAGATTTCTTCGTTCACACTGGCAAAATCAGGACAATCTTGTCAAACATAAGAGATGAGTCATGAATACCCGATAAGTGGCAGTGGGCCAAAATAGGTGAAGGCCACTGAGGGTAGTCAAATCTGTTGTTAAAAATTGATAAGCTTAATATGCCATACCAAAAATCACACCATATATAATTGTAGTATAAACTGATTCACAGTAACAGACATATAAAAGTTTCATTCCTAACTGAAGATTTAATAACAAAATATAACGTGAACAGCTGTGACTGAAATATAGATGTCATTCATAAATGCAGTTTCAACTGCCGAATCATAGAGTGAACAGCTGTGACTGAAATATACATGTCATTCATAAATGAAGTTTCAACTGCAGAATCATAGAGTGAACAGCTGTGACTGAAAAATAGATGTCATTCATAAATGAAGTTTCAACTGCAGAATCATAGAGTGAACAGCTGTAACTAGACATAAAGATGCTTCATTCATAACCCCCATGTTTCACTGTTAAATCATAAACTTATCATGTCTTCATTGTTTGTATTTACCACTTTCTAACCCTTTTGCCTCCATTTGCTGCCCATTATAAAACTTCAAAAGGGCCATATTTCAGCACATCAGCTTTGGTCAGTCCCAGCTACTCCTACATAATGGCTTTGGCACTGTTTGCAAATACTGTATACTGTTTCAAAATTACTTCCCATAAATGTTTCAAATATCTTGACAGCCATATACGTAATTTCTTTATAATTAATTAAAGGTGACACAATTACACGAACTTGGCTCACTTGGATTTTATTTTCCCCAGCGGAACAGTTTGATTATATTTACTTAAAAAATGAGGCGGAGAGGAGTGTCCTCCGTTAACCCTATTGTTCCAAGAAGCCGTTAAACCAGCACTTCCGGCTGAGCCCAATTTCCTGTAAATGTCACTTCTATTTGTCTAGTGCCCTGTTTCAAGATGCATAATTAATGCTACTGGCTGAGTTCACGCGTGTGCAAACGCTTATGAGGTCAAGATATGAATACACTAACTAAAAATAGCATTTACGGGGCATATTTTTTCAGCCAAATTTAATTTTTAAAGTGAAGCTGACAGATTTTCTCATAAGCCTCAGTGACTGAGGTCATGAGGTCACAGCATGAGTAATCCCACACATGGTTTTTACTTTTTTGTTAGATATTGGGGAAGCATCAACTGTTTGTATTTATTGATTCCTCCTTCCATATATCTTTTGAGAGAGAACAATTTTTTGGAATTTAAAAAAATAGACATTTTAAACAAATTTATTAGCAAACTGTAGAAACACGAGTTTTTTTTTTTTTTGGACTATGGATTTTTTTCTGCATACTGACACATTTTCTTTAGTGACCCTGGGGCAAAAGGCTAAAAGCATCCTGGATAAATTATTTAAAACATAGTAACCCAATCAGCCATCAAAACTTGGTCAATCACACATATTCTGTTTAACTGCGGTAAAAAAAAACTAATATATGACTAGTTAACAATTCTTTTTTTTTCTTTAAAAAAAAAATGCTTAACATATTTAATAAATACAGTCTTTCATCAATGCAAAAGATGAATAACATATATAACAAGTTAAATAATGATCTCATTATTGGTAACTTAAACATGAGTTATAAAATGAAACACGACAGTGGTCATCCATTTTCGTGTACACAATGAACTTAAAAACAATGCACACACAAGTCTTCATCAATGTATCCAGGACAGAGGGACAACACAAACAATATGCTTAAAATATGCGCAGAGATGGCTGGGGCAGCTGCAAGTGGTCAGTCGGGACAGATGGCCAGAGGGTCCCGTAAGATCGTCAAGGAAGTATCACAGCCAGAACGTGATAGTGCCTGGGCATTAGAGACTACTTCTGCTGCACAAGTCACTGTAAAATAAAAAACATTCAGAAGTAAAATGAACTGTATTTTTAAAGGTCTTGTCTTCTTCTTCTTCTGCGTTCGATATCAGTCATGCTAAACAATGAGTCCCGTTTGGGTCACAAATAGGATTGTGCGTGTAAGGTCGCCACCGGTCCCCCATAGCTTCTCTTGCAATGTGGCTCCTTTGGGCCAGATCCACAGTCTTTGCTGGGAGAGGTTAGGGCAGTACTGTAGTATATGCTCAGGGGTCTGTCTTTCTGCTCCACAATCACAGGCAGCAGATTCTTTTATGCCTATCCTGTACAAGTGTGCTCGAAGACCACAGTGTCCAGTCCAAAGTCTAAAAATTGATGTTTGTTAAACGTCACTGATTGGGCAGACAGGTCTGTCTTACATTCCGTCCTCCCAGGGTATGCTGGTGTAAAAGGCAATGAGAGAGCAGATGCTCAAGCTGGCGGTTCAACTATGAGGAATGGGCCATCTATGAACAGGAGAGCCATCACCAATGCCACATGAGAGACTAAATGCCGTGAGGCTTTCAGTTCCGAGGAAAATTATTTTTCACTGAACAGACTGCATACCGTGGGTGTACCAAGTGGAGTCTTAAGACCCAAAAAAAAAAAAAAAAACTTGTGAGTACCACCTGTCATTACACTAACAAGCACACAGAGTGGCAGTTAGCCTAAAAACACCTAGAGACATACTCAGGAGAAGACTGGGTAACTTATGATTATCTCCCATGTGGGATAAAGATGATCTTCAAAATGAACAATGAACATTCAGTCCTCCCTCACACGAATATGAATTTTGTGAACTGTGAGAATCCACAACACAACACTCGGAATATTTCCATAAGCATCCTATCCAAATCTTCAGCAGCAAGCACAGAGTTCCAGTTCCGATGGTACCAGTAAATGTCTGATCCATCTCGCCTTCCCCTTGCATCCAGTGTGAGGGAACTGTCTGATCCATCTCACCTTTTCCTTGCATCCAGTGTCCCAGTAACTGTCTGATCCATCTCGCCTTTCCCTTGCGTCCAGTGTCCCAGTAAATGTCTGATCCATCTCGCCTTCCCCTTGCGTCCAGTGTCCCAGTAACTGTCTGATCCATCTCGCCTTCCCCTTGCCTCCAGTGTCCCAGTAAATGTCTGATCCATCTCGCCTTCCCCTTGCGTCCAGTGTCCCAGTAACTGTCTGATCCATCTCGCCTTCCCCTTGTGTCCAGTGTCCCAGTAACTGTCTGATCCATCTCGCCTTCCCCTTGCGTCCAGTGTCCCAGTAACTGTCTGATCCATCTCGCCTTCCCCTTGCCTCCAGTGTCCCAGTAACTGTCTGATCCATCTCGCCTTCCCCTTGTGTCCAGTGTCCCAGTAACTGTCTGATCCATCTCGCCTTCCCCTTGTGTCCAGTGTCCCAGTAACTGTCTGATCCATCTTGCTTTCCCCTTGTGTCCAGTGTCCCAGTAACTGTCTCCATCTTGCTTTCCCCTTGTGTCTAGTGTCCCAGTAACTGTCTGATCCATCTCGCCTTCCTCTTGCGTCCAGTGTCCCAGTAACTGTCTGATCCATCTCGCCTTCCCCTTATGTCCAGTGTCCCAGTAACTGTCTGATCCATCTCGCCTTCCCCTTGTGTCCAGTGTCCCAGCAACTGTCTGATCCCTCTTGCTTTTCCCCTGTGTCCAGTGTCCCAGTAACTGTCTGATCGATCTTGCTTTCCCCTTGTGTCCAGTGTCCCAGTAACTGTCTGATCCATCTTGCTTTCCCTTTGTGTCCAGTGTCCCAGTAACTGTCTGATCCATCTTGCCTTCCCCTTGTGTCCAGTGTCCCAGTGACTGTCTGATCCATCTTGTTTTCCCCTTGTGTCCAGTGTCCCAGTAACTGTCTGATCCATCTTGCTTTCCCCTTGTGTCCAGTGTCAGCCAGATCTCCTGGTGTTTCTTCAAAAATCCCGATGATCTATTTGTGCCCTTACACTAGTTTGTCATGCATCAATTCACCACCAAGTGGTGCAGAACCAGCAAGTCTATCTGCCTGTTCATTTCCCAAAACACTGGTATCACCTGGATAAAATATCCAGACACTTAACTACTGGGACCTCTGAAGCGAGGCTTGTCACTCAGCACAGAGCATATGCATTCATCTTTCTCATGGTGCTCTGTGTGTCAGTTACAATTACGACAGTGTGCAGGTGGTTCTCAAAGCAGCAGTGACAGACTCTACCTGCCTTCTCAAACTAGATGTTGTCATGTCAGATGACAGGCTTTTTTATTTTTAAAAATGTTGCACACAGCAACTGCCTTTTATGTATAGAGCATATTATGTTCATACAGCAATATACATAATATGATTATCAAGTAAAAACACAAAATATGGATGGAAAATGTTTGCAGGCATACATAAGCACTTTACACACACAAATACATACATAATTAAACATACATACATACATACATAAACATGCACAATGATACATACAAATTTACACACATGTACATAAATACATACATACATACACACATGCATACAAAGAAACCCACACAAACTCACAGAAAAAAAAATATGGCCCTGTAAAGATCTTTGTATCCTGTGTGTTTTAGGGTTCATAAAACAAATAACAAGCGGCGTCCGAGGCTAAGGCGTTGCGAGTCCGACTCGTAATCCAACGTACCGCGATCGAAGCCCACTGCGGGCTGCGTGGATTTTTTATCGTGGTTTGGGGCGTCGACCGAGCCTCAAATGGGTACCAGGGTGGCTGTCCTGGGGAAGTAAAGACGGCCGGCGTAACGCTGACCACATTACCCACCGAGTGCCGATTGGTCTGTAAAAATATGGGACGTTCTGCCCATATGCCCGATGCGCCTTAGGAGTAATAAGGGATCTTTACTTTTTTTTACTTTAAACCAAAAAACACTAACACTTAAACTATTTTACATGCTGCAACAGGCATCTAAGGAAAGGTGACACAAGACTCACTGTCTTATCTTACCAGGAAAATAAAAACAATAGATGTAAAATCCAAGAGATTATAAACAAGTTCAAATGATTTAAGAGTTGCTGAAAGACAAAAGAAATATCTTTTAGTATATCTTTTTCTTCTTAATGTTCACCAGCTGTAAACTCTAGCTGAAAGTTCGTGGCTGAAAGTTCTAGCTGAAAGTTCTGGCTGAACAACAAATGGCTTGGCAAAGAAAATTCGAGACAAGAACACAGAACCTGATAGCAGACTGTGTGTAAATGAAAGAACAAATAAATAAAAATTTCAAAAGGTCAGGAATTAAGCATACAGGCCCATCTAACAAACATTATTTCATTCACACATCATTTCAGTCATACATCTGTTCACAAGTAAAAGTAAATATTATCAACAGCAGCTGAATATTAAATACAAGCATGGAATATTCTTGAATTACACCTACATTTCTAGCCTCGGTAAACCACAGTAATAGTAATAAATCTATGGGGGGGAGAGGGGTGTGCCTGTGTGTGATATTTATAAAATATTTGTACCTTCTAAGGGGATATGTAATCTGTACTAGTGGTATTTTTTTTTAATTCCGCGGTTGAGCTGCGGAGTATGCTAAATATGCTTTGTCTGTCGTAACTTTAGGAATATGAAAAATGTTTAACATTTGCCTTCCTCAATATTAAAACAGCCGCCGCAGGTAACCTGAAGCTCTTTGGGATAAAATTGTAAGGGGGCTACGTTGTCTCAAGGCATGGTGTTTGCTTCAAGTGCTAGAGGTTCCGGGTTCAATCCCCGGTAAGGCTGCGAATTTTTCATGTTGACTTGGATTTCTAGTAATTTTCCCTGGTCTCTGAGTAGTGAGATTGGCGCCCGTGTGCATTGTGACGCAAGTAAAAAAAATCACTTTGCAGTTGGAAATCAAAAAAGAGTAGCCTAACGGAGCTGCTCAGGCAAAATTTGGAGTTGAAAATCTACCCAAAGTACTTCAGGATCCTCGCCGGTGCTACAGAGCCTGTGCACTGTGCTGAGCTTCTTTGGACTCAGACCAGAGTTAGAAGAAGAACAGAGCATTTATGGGTTACTACCAGTGTGCCATGATGTTGCAATGTGCTCTGCTAGGGCTTTGTTTCTACATGACATTGCTGTATTGATGAACGCTTAGTTGCTTTGACACACCAGAAACGAATGTTCAGTTATAGACCTTTATTCGCTGAATCAAACATCCATCTCATACTAAAGCCTTGTACCTGGTATTAGTATATGTTGAACTGGCACTAGGAAGCATTCATGTCTTCTCTCAAACAGTTCTATGTTGTCACAAGTTCTCGATTCTAATCAGGTGTTCTCTCACATACGACCTCTCGCAACCAGGTCCAAACTTTAACTATCTTACTACCGTCTCTCTGTTCACGTCTTCCGTTCCAGTCTCACACGCTTTTCTTGTATCCCTTTCTCGCTCACCATGGGATACTCGAGACCCACTTATCTCGTTTTTCTCTTGTATCACTGGTCCTCTGACCTTGTTCTCCCCCCCCCCCTCAGGAACTCTCTGGGATTTCCCCGGGAATTCACAACATTACAGTGAAGAAATTTAGCCTTCAGTCACTAAACAGCTAAAACATTCTTACCTCTACAAGCTGAATGTCTTTCTCTGTGAAGTCTGGTGCAGGCAGGCTTGAGTATCGCAATCTTAACAAGTCCCCCACATCATCAACAATTCTAATTGCCTGAAATGAGAGCAAGAGTTTTGGCTGAAGAAAGAAAATTAACAAATATCTCAGGTTTTTTTATTTTGAACCCAAAAAGGTTAACATAATGAGGTAATAAAATATACAGAACAATTTATTGCCCGACATTTTTCACAGTATCATATCAGAAGGATTACTAGAGGTTGTATCAATATATAATACAGCGTTAATCCTGAATCCTTTAACTAAAAACAGATGGATCAAATTGTCTCTTGTTTAAACTGTCTTTCTCAGCTCAACTGACAAAGAAACATTGCACAGAATATTCTTCACATTGTAAAATGCCGTCTTTGCTTAAGCTATTACATATTTAACTTCTTAAATACGTCTTCTGTCTGCTGTTATCAGGGTACTCAAGTACTTTAAAGTCATCAGATTCCAATAAAACCTTAATTAATCACCTTTTACACATGCTTGTTTGACCTGATATCATACTGTGCCAACGGTTTCGGCAGAGGAGGGGAAGGAAGGGGGGGGGGGGGAGGATCCTTAGCCTTGGCTGGCAGCTGATCTGGGTGGAAAGCTCTAACAGGCAGACAGAAGAACACTGCTTTTCTGATCCTGCAGTTTCTGCAGCCTGCTTTGTTCCAGACGTACCATTGTTATCTTTCCTTTGGAGCAAACACTGCAGGTCGAGGTAGGAATCATGATGCAACATATGGTCTCTACAATACTGCCCAGGCTTTGCGCTATGGAGAAAAAGATTTATCCCTGGCCGCAATTGGTCTAGGAAACAAACTGAGAGGCAGTAGTTACTGGTTATACATCCTTGTCAATTGGCATTGATGAGAAATTTTGGTCTAACAACTAGCAACAACAACAAAACAGAGTTATGGTGCAAGGTATTAATGAATGACAGACAGTCTACATTGACAGTGAAGAGCTATTGACAATTGATCATTTTACCTATCTGGGATCCACAGTGAATAACAAACTATCTCTGGACCAAGAAATCAACATCAGAATACGTAAGGGAGCAACAACAATGAGCAGATCAACAAAAAGAGGATGAGAGCTGAGTGCTGAGAAGAAACAGACCAAACACAAATGTTGATAACAATGGTTCTGAAATCCTATGCTATAACTGCGATAGCTTTTTTTTTTAAACACAGACGGGTCATGCTAGTCGCACTCGCCATCGCCAAGGGCTGTGAGTCACATGCCTCCTCATAGCGCAATATAACACTATGAGGGTCTCTTCCCCCCCCCCCCACAAACTGGGCCTAGGAACTCAAAACTGTGAGGCAGTATTCCAACACCTAGTTAGGGCAGCCATAATGATCCTGACCCCATCACTATTTGAGTATTACTTGTCTATAAAAATACAGGTCTAGCGTGTAAACCCAATGTGCCGCCAATGGCCTGGTCCTGTACTTAACAAAACAAAGAAGCTGATGACCACTATCTCTCACCTCATCAAGCATTTCCTTGGTGTGCGCTGCCGACAGACAAAATCTGGCCCTGGTTTCAATCAGCGGAGTGGCAGGAAAACCCACAACAACTGTGGCCATCCCACGCCTCAAAGTCTCCCTACTGAACATACTGCAACACACCAAAATTTACTAAGATAAAACATGACAGCATAAATCAACAGAAGGGGATAACAGTAACAACTATAAAAGTCTTAAAACAGATCAGGAAAAACATAAAGTAAGTGTCTGCAGTACTAGTAATTACTGCAGAATGTACTGTTTCAAAAAATTACCCTTCTTCAAGTAATCTACGTAGATAGGTAGGACTAGTTCATTAAATACAGGACTGTCTACAATGGACACAGGACACTGTAGCAGATGGCCTTTACTATTAATTGGTCCAATATTACATTTCAAATAAAAATACCTAAGTACCATTAAAGTGTTAATAAAATATTACATTTCAATATAAAGTAACTCAAGCACCAATAAAATATTACATTTTAAAGCAAAATAATAAAAATTAAGTACCAATGAAGTAACTACACAACGCCACAAGATAACTGAATCTAGTCACTTCCTTTCATGTGACAGCCAAGTTGAGGGCAAATTTTCCAATAAGCCTCTGTGATGAAGGTCATGACATGAGTCATCCGATACACACAATTTTTTTTTTTAGTTGGATAGGGAAACCTAGAAGTCAATAGAAGAAGGACTATTTTCAATGAGTTCACTAAGAAGATGATCAGTGGTTGAATTCTCTTTTTCTGCTTCGCGGTCAGCAGCTGTAGACTCCAGCGGAAAAGTTCTGTCTGTTCATCCACTTCTGGACTTGAGTCCTGTTTCAGAACTCGAGTTTTGTCTGTATATCCATTTTGCAGATCTGGCTTATTTGTATGCAGACTGTTGGTTCCTCGCTCTGCAGGCAGATGCACTGTGACTTCGAAGGAAACATCCCTAATTAGTCGACTCTTATGACATGTCTAACAGAAGGCAGTGGGACAATGAGACCCCAAGACATGTGCTGCATAGTACCACAGATATCTCTCTTTCTCCCTTTGTACGTGCGTGCGCACGCGTGTGTATATAGAGTTTGCAAAAGAGATAGTAATATTTTTATTACAATATCACTTTACAAAATAAAGTACTTACGTACCAATAAAGTGAAAATAAAATACATTATTTCAAAGGAAAAAAATGTAATACCAGTAAAGTAACTTGTGACTTGAGTATAAATTTAATTTACTACAATAAAATATTTCAAAGTAAAGCAACTGAAGTACCAATACTTACGCAACTTTTGAAGGCATATACAAGAGCAATGGAACGACAGGTGAGTCCTTGTTCCCATACAGGATATATCCTCGGTCGTGCAGTCGCTTGCGAAAGTAACGGGTATTCCACGCAAGCTGGCGGATTCTTTTCAAGCCTGCAAAATTATTTTATGCATAAAATGTACTGTTAGTCTTTTAATTTCTTTACTGTGTAGACATCTATGGTAGTCTTCTTCTTCACGTTTACCAGATGTAACTCCAGTGGGAAGTTCTTGCTGTTTGTTTCTGAACTTCAGTCTTATTCCAGAAACTGAGTGTTGTGTGCACATCTGTTTTATAGATATGACTTATCTGTATTCAGATTACTGGTTCCTTGCCTCTCAGGCAGATGCACTGACTATGAAGGAAGTCCCCAGTCAGTCGACTTTTATTATGCGTTTGCTGAAGATGCAGTGGGTCTATTCTTGTTTTCACCCCAACAGGGCCCCAGAACCCACAAGGGGATCTATGCTGATACCCATACTCTGTCTGCCCTGAACATAAATAGCTGAAGCAAATGTTCTTTACAAAGTAAGCACTGAAGCAGAACAGACAGGACATTCTGAAGAAAATTATTCAGCTGGGAGTGAGCGGAGGGCTCGGGCAATATTTTACCCAAATGGGGGAAAATAGACAAACTTTTAATCAAGTTTCAAGAGGCACTAACAGTATGGGAACTCTTTGTAGGATACTAAGGGGATGAAGGAACGAGCAGAAATGTCCTGTGTGCAGTAATGTCAATTCTTGGTGTATTCATTCATATGTTCTTTACACCCAATACAAAAACAGTCCACTAAAATTTGATTTAGGTTTCATACTTAAACAGTCCATTGACATTTTCTTTATTTATGTTATACACATTAACAACCCACTAATATGTTCTTTATGTCTCATAATAAACAGTCCACTAGTGTGTTGTTTATGTCTCACATACAAACAGGTTACTAATATGCTCTTTATATCACACAGATAAACAACCCACTAATATGTTCTTTATGTCTCATAATAAACAGTCCACTAGTGTGTTGTTTATGTCTCACATACAAACAGGTTACTAATATGCTCTTTATATCACACAGATAAACAACCCACTAATACCGTCTTTATGTCTCATACATAAAATATGCACTTATAATCTCCTTACATCAAACACAAACAGTTCACTCCCATGTCACTTATGTCTAGCTCTTCAATATTCTATTCATATTTTCTTTCCATCCAAAATGTCTGGAATGAAGAAGAATAGTAAACTAAAACAAAAGTATGCTGTAAGTTGTTACTAGGAAGAGATCCAAATGTTACGAACTGAATATTTCAATATACAGTTAAATGATCTGCCGACTAAGTTGCTAGAAACATTTTTTTTCCCCAGAAAACTTCTGATAAACTGCTCAATGACTCTAAAAACAAAGCATAAAGCAAACCTATTTTCAGACATAAACAGCAAATATTTCTTACCTTCTTGAGTGCCATCTTTGCCTGTTAGAACATTCATGGTACTGATTACCTGCTGAGCTGTTGGTGCAGGCATTGCCATTGGGTAAATAGAGCTGTGAGCATGTGTTCGTAGGTGCTTGATCAACCTCTGGAATTTGATAGAAAAAGAGGGGGAAAAATATAGCAATATTTAAAGTCATTTGTCAAGGTTCTGATTTCTTTGTAGACGGGTTACCCCACAACTGTTGTGTTCCTGTACCACCCCACAACTGTGTTGTGTTCCTGTACCAGCCCACATCTGTTCTGTTTCTGTACCACCCCACAACTGTTGTGCTCCTGTACCACCCCACAACTGTTGTGCTCCTGTACCACCCCACAACTGTTGTGCTCCTGTACCACCCCACAACTGCTGTGTTTCTGTACCACCCCACAACTGCTGTGATCCTGTACCACCCCACAACTGTTGTGCTCCTGTACCACCCCACAACTGCTGTGCTCCTGTACCACCCCACAACTGCTGTGATCCTGTACCACCCCACAACTGCTGTGCTCCTGTACCACCCCACAACTGCTGTGCTCCTGTACCACCCCACAACTGCTGTGTTCCTGTACCACCCCACAACTGCTGTGTTTCTGTACCACCCCACAACTGCTGTGCTCCTGTACCACCCCACAACTGCTGTGCTCCTGTACCACCCCACAACTGCTGTGTTCCTGTACCACCCCACAACTGTTGTGTTCCTGTACCACCCCACAACTGCTGTGCTCCTGTACCACCCCACAACTGCTGTGTTCCTGTACCACCCCACAACTGCTGTGCTCCTGTACCACCCCACAACTGCTGTGTTCCTGTACCACCCCACAACTGCTGTGTTCCTGTACCACCCCACAACTGTTGTGTTTCTGTACCACCCCACAACTGTTGTATTTCTGTACCACCCCACAACTGTTGTGCTCCTGTACCACCACACAACTGTTGTGTTCCTGTACCACCCTACAACTGTTGTGCTCCTGTACCACCCCACAACTGCTGTGTTCCTGTACCACCCCACAACTGCTGTGCTCCTGTACCACCCCACAACTGTTGTGTTCCTGTACCACCCCACAACTGTTGTGCTCCTGTACCACCCCACAACTGTTGTGCTCCTGTACCACCCCACAACTGTTGTGTTCCTGTACCACACCACAACTGCTGTGTTCCTGTACCACCCCACAACTGTTGTGTTCCTGTACCACCCCACAACTGTTTGTGTTCCTCTACCACCCCACAACTACTGTGTTCCTGTACCACCCCACAACTGCTGTGTTCCTGTACCACCCCACAACTGCTGTGTTCCTCTACCACCCCACAACTGTTGTGTTCCTGTACCACCCCACAACTGTTGTGTTCCTCTACCACCCCACAACTGTTGTGTTCCTGTACCACCCCACAACTGTTGTGTTCCTCTACCACCCCACAACTGTTGTGTTCCTGTACCACCCCACAACTGTTGTGTTCCTCTACCACCCCACAACTGTTGTGTTCCTCTACCACCCCACAACTGTTGTGTTCCTCTACCACCCCACAACTGATGCAGGGCAGGCACACTGAATGTGCTGTATTCTAAGACACAGACAAAGGAGTCAGAGACAATGAACCGCCTGTTGGAAATGGGTAGTAAATGAGGACATGCATGCAAAAACCATTTGTGGGGTAAGGAGGGGTGATATGCCCATCAACTCCGACCACCGAGTATGTTGAGCATGGAGACACTGAGATGGCTATTACATTGGTGGACGGAGCATGAAAGAGTTGGACCGATGTGCTAGGATGCCAAACAGGACAAGTAACACAATTTCTATGCACACCCCTGGGGATCAACGCCTGAGCTACAGGGTTCATGCTCAGCAGTCCATTCTGTGAAGAGACACTGAGCCTTATGCTATAATCCATGACAATGAAGCTGACCCTCCAGGCTTCAGCTTTAAAGTTTTGTTTACAAATACCGTTACAAACACACATATTCTCTCTTTCTCTGTCCCACATGATCTCTCTCTCTCACACAGATATTCTCTCTCTCCCTATCACACATATTCTCTCTTTTTTTCACACACATATTCTCTCTCTCTTATTCTCTCTCTCTCTTACACACATATTCTTTCTCTCACACACATATTCTCTCTCTCCCACACACACACACACACATTCTCTCTCTCTCACACATCAGCTGAACAATAATGAACACATCCTACCTTAGTTCCACCTATATATCCGCCAGCGGACCCAAAACTCTTAGTGAATGTCCCCATCAACACATCCACATCATGCGGATCCACTCCAAAGTAATCAACAACTCCCTTACCATGGGGCCCTAAGGCCCCAATGCTGTGGGCCTCGTCCAAATACACGTAAGCTTTGTATTTTTTCTTCAGGCGTAAAACGTCAGGTAAACGTACTATAGACCCCTCCATACTGTTAATTTTAAAAAAAAAATTGTAAACATTACAAATATGTTTCATGTGATAGTCTAATAAAAACAATGCAGAAAAAACTAACAAGACTTACATGTTAACGAGTAAAATTGTAATTTATTTACTTTTATTCAGGCTGTCCACAAACTACCTTTAGACCTAAATCACATCAACTGCCTTTACTTCCCAAGACATTACGTCTTTTAGGCTTGGTCGAGCTAGGAATTAGGGATAATTTTGATATTATCTGCCTCAATGCGAGTCTGATCAGGCAGGAGTATAGCTCTATGTTACTGCAGCTTCCAGAGTAGAGGAAAGACACAGATAATGAGAATAGAAACAGGATCCTGTCTATGTTAATACTCTTTTCCTTCCCTTTCTTACACTCTTTTCTTGTCTTTTCTTACAATCAAACTTTTCCTGTATTTTCTTACAATCAATCTTTCTTGCCTTTCTTACACTCTTTTCCTGTCTTTTCTTACAATCAATCTTTTCCTGTCTTTCCTTACAATCAATCTTTTCTTGTCTTTTCTTACAATCAATCTTTTCCTGTCTTTTCTTACAATCACTAACTTTCTGTCCTTTATTACGGTCCACCATAAAGACAGATACCCTTAGCTTTGGTTAACAGCTGGTCTAGGAAGGAAGATTTCAAATGCAGACAGAGCATACTGCTCTTCTGTTTACATGGTTTCTACAACACTGCCCAGGTTTGGTGCTATCAAGAGGAACCTAGTGACCTTAATGACCAATATCTAGGTTGTGATTTCCATGCCGGCCAAAGTAAGACTTGCCTGGAAGGTGGGGGTGGCCCCTCAATGCTCCCTTCATAAGCAGATCGTAAAAAGCAACTAGTTAGGGGTGTTTCAAAGTGCATTTGCCTGAGAGGTAAGGAACCAACAGTCTGCACACAAATAAGTCAGATCTGTAAAAACAAATGTGTGTGCAAAAGTCAAGTTCCGGAACAAGACCCAAGTCTAGAAGAGGACGAACAACCTTACAGTCGGTAAAGATGAAGAAGAACGGACAGATGCTTACCAAATCTATGCCTATAAAAAGCTCTAACCTGTACACTCCTTCAACCACAATCAGAATCTTTTTCCAGGGTCTGTGTGTTCTTGGTTGTCCAAAACACACCGCCTCTCTCAGCTTCTTCTCTAAGTCTGCCATATCTGTGGACCAGCATGCAAGAATGAAGTCCTTACTTTTGTCAAATGAACCCGCCACAGTGGACTGCTGGGCACCTAAAAACCTTCACCATCATCAGGTCCTTTGCAGATCATCATTCTCATCATGGTCTGCCTGAAAGAAATTCATCCTATCACCAGCTCTCCCGCCTCACGCACTTTCCAACCGTGGGTGTGCCTTTATCCTGTGCCCATCTTTCCTGGTGCTATGCCTTCTACTGCCATTCTTTCCAATCCACCCAGTGCTCGATTCAGTTAAAATACTTCAGTTCCTAAGATGGAATGCTATTTACTAGCTATTCTTCCTTGTTGTTTATATCTTTTACTATGCCCTTATTTTGATAATCTTCAGGTACTTCTACACAACAGTGTTACATGGTTGAACAGGGAGGGTGTCTGGGATTTGCTTCTGTTTTATTCTCACCCGAATAGTGGCTCTTTTGAGCCAATGTATGTTAATCTTTCAAAATGCAATCATGTGGGATTGGGGGGGGGGGGGGGGGGGGGGGAGAAAAATTAAATTATTTCTATTGCTTGGAACAACAGTATTAGCTTCTACTTCTTCTTCTTTTGTTTGCTTGAAAAAAAATTATTTATATCCACAATGCTGTTTCTAGTATGAACTTTTGTAATTTACTTAGCGGCCGGTAAAGTTTGGCTTCAACCAGTGTCCCTCTTGGCCAGAAGCTCTGCCTGGAAAAGTATTTGGGGCAATCTTGAAGGATGTTAGATTCTACTAAAATTTATCGTCAACAAATTCTTTGTTTTGCTTGTTCACAAAAAGCCATAAAGACAGTCTATCACTGGTTTCCTTTTTTTTACAGTTGCCTCTTTCGTTGAGGTTAGGTTCTTCTTCACATTCACCGGCTGTAAACTCTGATGGAAAGCTCTGCTTATTTGTCTATTTCGGCCATTGAGTTAACCGTATGTGTCGATTCCTCCCCACCAAATATATGGTTGACACATTCCGTTTCTGGGGACAGCTTTTATCGAGTTTGCTCTCTAGACAGTTGCAGTCCCCTGCTGATGAGATTCTGTCTTCCCGAGTGGACCGCCACGATCAAAACATTGCAAGGGCAGTGTGGCCGAGGCTGCCCAAACTATTGGTCATTATCCCGCCCTGACACAGCACAACCACAATACACGCTGTTCCCACGAAAAACACATAATATCCTGCGTTGGAAATGCGCATAAAATAGCAGTCCCTGATTAGGAAACAGAATAATCAGAGAGAATTGACAGCCAGCGAAAATAAACACAACTGCTGTCCGCCATTTTAAAAACGGAAGTCCATTTGTCTATTTTAGGACTTTAGTCTTGTTCCAGAACTTGAGTTTTGTGTATGCGTGCATTTTTCAGATCTGGCTTATTTTTATGCTGACTGTTGGTCCTTTGTCTCTCAGGGGGACACACTCTGGAAGGAAACATTCCTAATTAGCTGTCTTGTACAGCATGCCTTATTGTGGAGGGGGGCAGTGGATCTATGCCCCCCCCCCCTATACCCCAATCGGGGCCACAGGACCCGCACAGGAAGAAGTTAGATTAAGCCATGCTGTTTATAAATAAAAAATAGTTCTCTCCGCAATGAACATTGTCCACAATATACTGTTGTCTCTAAAAATATGATGTAGTGAGGCCCCAAGTTCTTCCAGGGTGCGACTGCCAGAACACAACAAAACAGGGCTTTTTTTTAAAAAGTAAACCGTCTGCCGCAGAAATCAAACCCTACTACACAAATAAGCCAGATCTGTCACATGGCCGTGCACACAGAAATCAAACCCTACTACACAAATAAGCCAGATCTGTCACATGGCCGTGCACACAGAAATCAAACCCTACTACACAAATAAGCCAGATCTGTCACATGGCCGTGCACACAAAAATCAAACCCTAGTACACAAATAAGCCAGATCTGTCACATGGCCGTGCACACAAAACCCAGGTTCTGGAACAAGATAAAGTTCAGAAGTGGATGAACAACCCCAACTTTCTGCCGGAGTCTACAGCCAGCAAATGTGAAGAAGAAGAGACTGACTTAGAAGCCACAAAGCCATGTTACTGCTCTGCACCTCCCTGTCTGTCTGTTTCCTTTTCCCAGGTTGTTACACAAATATCAAGAGTGACATTCTGAATGCAAATAAACATGACAAATCCCCGATATCAACACCCCTTACCCCACCACTTTGATGTTACAACACATGACGGGGCAGATGTGGTCAAAGCCCTTTGGGAACAAGCAACGGAATCAGTAGAGAAAGAAAATTGTTATGGTATGGAGAAAATGAGGCATCTGAGTGTAACCAGAGGGTCTAGCCGGCTCACTACACTCAGAGGAAAGTCAAGATGGATATATAACCAGATTGTAACCGGTACCATCAGTATTGGAACTCTTGGCTGGCTGCTGAAGATAATGACGCAGCATGCATGGGAATGAACTGAGTGCTGCGATGTCAATTTTTGACTCCTCAACTAAGATGTTACATCACAGGACAGCCAAATGGTGTACCCTGCAAGGACTGTGCAGGTAAGGGTATTTTTCTCTACTCTCCATAATGAGTGATCAAAGATAGATCAGGAATACAAGTTTCAGCTATAGAGACATTCTGTATTTTGTAGGTCAAACTGAAGCAATGAATTTCAAGGGCTTGGAATACTTAAGAAGAATTATTTATATAACATGACACCTGATGGTAAAGATGAAAAATCTCTTACCATTGTGTTTATATGTCCAAACTAATGCGCCTGACAACCTTGATCCGAGAATAAGTGACGCATGATTCAACTCATCACTTAGTATAAGGCACCCCTGAGAAGAAAATAAAAATATAAAACACTGCCAGTGTAACATTAATTTTTTGTTTTTAAATAAATTTACTCCAGCTTCTCTTCCCCAACGTTCACTGGTCATCGACTAGATGTCTTCTTCAGTAGTCTTAGCCCGTAAGGTAAAAAAAGTAAAGATCCCTTTTCACACCTTTAGGCGCATAGGGCATATGGGAAGAGCATCCATATTTTTATAGACCAATCGGCACTAGGTGGGTAATGTGGTCAGCATTACACCAGCCATCTTTACTTCCCCATGACATACTTCCTGGTACCCATTTTAGGCTGGGTCAACCTGCGACGCCCCATACCAAGATAAAAATCCACACAGCCAGAAGTGGGTTTTGATAGCGGCACGCTGCAATTACGAGTCGGACTCGCAACGCCTAAGCCACGGATGGCGCCCCCGTGAGGTATACTGCTGCAGATATCACCAATTTCCATTTATCTTTGTGACTGGCCTTCTCTTTCCAGCTGGTGACTCCAAATGTCCGTAGGCCTGCCTCTATATCATCTCTCTATTGTCTTCTTGGTCTGCCTAATGGTCTACTCTTATTAAACTCTTTTGCATATGCAGTTTTTCTTGTCTCTCCCTTATCTGCCAAAGTGCCTCAATAAAATCAATTAGCCTTTGAGTGCCAGTAATTAGTGATTTAGCCCTTTAGCACCACAAAAATGTAATTTAAAAAGCGCATTTTTTTTTCTTCAAAATTTCATTAAAAATAAATGCCTCCTTATAATTCCATGAAGCTCTACCTTAAGAAACTAGAGGCCAAAAAAAAAGAAGCGGATGAAATTTTCTTGGACAGTTTTTAATAAATATCTATGGATTGAGCCCCTAGGCCACTGAGCAGACAGATGAGTGTAAAGACCACAGCTATACTGCAGCCGTCAAATCACTAAAATAATTCATATCAGGAAAGGAATAGGAGCAAAGAAGCAAATGACTGGTTAAATTATTTTATTTGATGGGTGTTCGCTGGATGTTAACTCCAGCATAATGCCCTGGTTGTTCGTCCCTTTCTGGCCACAAACTTTGTCCCATGAAATGAGTTTTGGGTGCACATTAATTTTACAGATCTGACTTAGTTATGTGCAGTCAACTGTCCCCTTGCCTATCAGGCAGATAACATCTCTAGGATGCCCGTGATCAATGATGAGAGCTTGAGAAGCAATATATAAAATACACGTGATAGCAACAATGGTCCCAAAATGCCATGAACTCACTGTAGGAGGCCCTGCCTGTCACACACATCATTGCAATCAGATGTGAGTTTCATGCTTCTAAACACTTTATTAGGGATATGGAAAAGTACCAACAAAGTAGAAAAGCAAAAAGATTTACATTACAACAGAAGAACACAGACATGACTGGTGATTCCGGTAACCGTGTGAGATGGCAAACCATGACTAAAACAAAAACAAACAAACAAAAAGTTGAGAGTCCAGAAATGGACAAACAACCAGAGTTTACAGCCTCTTAACGCTTAAATTAAAACAAAAAAGCTGGAGAAAGTGGAATTTTAAAAAAAAATTTTTTTACTGCCTGGCAGATCACAGTAGTAAGTAATCCTTGTGTAGGTTCCGGGGTGCCGTGTAGGTGGAGGGATAGTAACAGACTTACTGCCTCTCAAACAAACATGTCATAAGAGTGGACTAGCTGGAGGCATCATTAGAAGTCACAGTGCATCTGCCTTGAGAGGCAAGAAACCAACATTCCGCATACAAAAAGGTCAGATCTGTAAAATGAATGTGCATGCAACTTTCAGAACTTTCCACTGGAGTTTACAGTGCTTGAAGACAAAAAAAAAGCACTAATCAGGTGTATACCACAGTAATAAGTGAATATATCAAAGCAAATAAATGAATCCTTCTGATTGACATACAAACCCAACTACACTCTTCTTCTGCATTTGACATCAGTCATGCTAAATATTGAGTCCCGTCTGAGTCACAAATAGGATTGTGCGTTTAAGGTCGTCGCCCATCCCCCATAGCTTCTCTTGCAATGTGGCTCCCTTGGGCCAGATTCACAGTCTTTGCTGGGAGAGGTTAGGGCAGTGCTGCAGTATGTGCTCAGGGATCTGTCTTTCTGCTACACAATCACAGGCAGCAGATTCTTTTAGGCCTATCCTGTACAGGTGTGCTCGAAGACCACAGTGCCCTGTCCGAAGTCTAAAGATTGATGTTTGTTCTTTCCGGCTGAGTTTGTTTATGCTGTCACTCTTAGGTCTGTAATCTCAGTTCTGCCTTCTCCACAAACGTTAGAAAGATTGCTTTAGCGCTGTTTTGGTTTCCTTGTAGCTGTGTGGTGGATGAGGTTGTGGAAGATTACTCCCAGCTTTTGTCAACTCATCTGCTCTCTCATTTCCTTGAATACCATAGTGGGCTGGTATCCACTGCAAGACCAGTTCTGCTTCCTTGGAGAGTAAGCCAATGTTGGTCCTTAGATCTGCAATTAGTTTGTCTTGTTTTTTGCTTGATAGTGCTTGGAGAACAGACAATGAGTCACTAAGTATAACAATTTAGTGCCCTCTGTGTTCTTGAGTGAAGAGATGTTGGACTGCAGAAAGGAGGGCAGTTGCCTCAGCTCTGAAGTTAGTGCAGATGTCACCTGCTGGTAGAGAGAGAGTTTCTGCTCTACTGCTAGGAGGTTTAATGTAAATTCCACACTCCCCTTTCTGACTGCATCTGTAGCAGAGCCGTTGGTGAAAACCTGAGTCCAAGTGGTGTTTGGATACTTCTCATCAAGCATAGCAAGAGCCAGGGTTCTCTGTTGTGTCTCCGTCTGGGCATCTTTTGAAGTGATCCCTGGTATCTTTAGGACTACATTTGCCTTCTCTGGCTTGCTTGTCCTTGGGTCTAGCCTAAGTTTTTTGCACAGTGCAACATCTCTTTCAAGCAGATCTTGGTGCTGTCTGTACAGTTCTCTAGCAAGGTGGTTGGGGCTCTGACGCTTCAGTCTGTTTTTTGTTCTCTCTTGAAATTTAAAATGCAGTGGGTGACTTTGAAGTCTTTTAATTTCTCATACTGTAAAAGAGTTTTGTATTGTCTTCTGAGTTCGAGTGGTTCAGTAACTGCTATTCTCTCTATCTCTCTGATGGGGGTGGTTTTCATGGCTCCGAGAACAATCCCTAATCCCATATTCTGAACCTTGTCCAGTTTTCCCATTGTTCAACTACACTCAAAAGTAATTGCCTGTTTTACCAGGGCAAACGAAGATTTGCGACCACTGTGCAATCTACTGTTTGTGTCTTCTTTGTTTAAATTTATAAAGGGAAAAATTGTTTCACTTTGATTTTCTAACAAATAAAATTTCAGGCGCTCAGGAAAACATAACAACCTCACCTTGCTAACAAGTGCTGGCATGTTCATAGAATTGGTAGCAAACCCCATGGGAACCGTGATAGCTGCTTCCACACCAAGGTACTCCGCCACTTGTTCATCCAGCTCTCTGTGTATATCCATATATCCTGGCAACGGATAAGAGAATATGTAAGCACACACAACTTTAAATAATTGATAGTTTTTAGGGAAGCTGTCATGGTTTAGCAGCTAAACACAGATCTGAATGTGAAGGGCTCTGGTCCCGGCTAAAGCAGTCCTTGACTCTCAGGTCAACCCATCATTCAATAGGTACCAGATAAAGTTAACTAACTACCAACCTGTCCCTCAAAGTCAGAGTGCATCTGCCTGAGAGGCAAGGAACCAACAATCTGCAGACAAATTAGCCAGATCTGTAAAACAAATGTCCATGCAAAACTCAAGTTCTGGAACAAGTCCAAAAGTGGACAAACAACCATACCTTTCTGTCAGTTTGCAACTCCCTGTGGTTTCCAAGATCTCATTCGTGAAAACAAAGATTGGCCCCTAACAACCATGTCTTAACAGAGACTAGTCAGTGATGTTTCCTTCAAAGTCAGAGTGCATCTGCCAGAGAGGCGAGCAACTAACAATCTGTACATAAATAAGCCAGAAATGTACAATGGATATGGAAACAAGACCAAAGTCTACATGTGGATGAAGAACCAGAACTTTCCACTGGAGTTTACAGCTGCAGAATGCTAAGAAGAAGACTAAAATCTTACCCATTTCCTGACGAGAGGCACACACTCCAACTCCATATTGTTTCACAGTTTCCTCTACCTTGTCTGTGCAGGGACCTGAGTTTTCAGCAAAACCCAAGTAATTGTAGGAGCCAAAGTTCATCACATTCAGTTTCTTCCCTGTCAACCTGACCAAGGAAAATTTAGCAGATAAATTATACCCCACACTAAGCTACAGCAACTGACCACAAATTATTGCTCGTATTTATTCTACTTTTTTGTTTTGTTGGGTATGTCCTTAAAAGGGCAATGGGTACATTGTGGTTTACAGCTAGACTACGATATCTACATCATTAAGCACAACAATCTGAATTTCTTCTTCTGCCTTTCTAGCACCCAATGGAGCATAGGCACAATGGAGCATTGTAGACAATATATAGTTTTTGTCATATGAAACTACAGTGGACACAAAAGTCCACTGCAGAAAGAAACGTATTAATATATATAAGAAGCAAAGCCCTCATTCCAGATCATCGTCATCAAGTGCCTTGCGGACTGGTAAGGGCGATCATGCCGTTCATAATGAGGCTCATTTTATCACTTTCTGCAACCACATTATCTGTGAATTCCTGTAGTTCTTTCTGACTTGTCACTATCAAGACGGAGGCACAGCATTAAAATCATATTGTTTATGTTATGGCTATGATCGCGAAAGACAATTCCTGGCATATCCATTTTATATTCACTGTAAAATAAAAACAAATCAGGTGATAATATACATCCTTGTTGTACTCCCCTCTTTATGCTCTAATATGCTCCAAAATGGTTAATAATTCTAATAGCCGCTGTTTTCTGCCAACATATGTTCTTTATAATTTGTAAATCCTTTCCATCAATGTTCAACTCTCCCAGCAGGTTTTACTTTTTTCTCAGGTGTCACACAATGTACAGTCAATGAAGCATAAGGTCATTTTCTTAAAACTTGTATAGTTCTTTCCTGAGGAAGTATATGGCATTGTCTGTACCTTTTCCTTCTACATTTTGAGTAGTAATCAAAATCCCTGGTCTGCAAGTTGCCTCATGCTAGCTTCTAAAGGCACATCATGGGATGAATGAGAGTCTCATTATACAGAAATGAGGTTAAGCAGGCATGAGCAGGACATGACGATTCCTTGGGTGAGCCTAGTACCTGAGCACTATGTACTGGCTCTGAATTTAAGAAAGTATCGAAGCCATGATGTAAACGGGTCTAATGCATTTCAGCCATAGAAAAACAAAAACAAAGAAGAAATAGTTTTCTGGTCACTGCAACTTGATAGCTTAAAGAAAGTTAACTGGTGAAACAAAAAACTATTATACATACTTGAAGTTCCACCCATAGTCAGGAGATATTCTTTCCATGACATCTATCCGACCTCCAGCACAACTACTTATGGGCCGATTCCAGCAGTCCCTGGCACGTCTGTACAAATTCCGGGTATAAAAACTCTCCCAGCTCAAAAACAGCGGGACAAAACCCTAGATTTGGAATTACATAAGAGAAAAAAGCGATAACACATCAAAATAAAAATATTTAGCAAACAATAAAATGATAACTTGCCATCCCTCTCCATCCGTAGGTTCCGGGGCCCTATTGTTGGGGGAAACAATTACACTAACCGCCTCGGCCCCCTTTCTCCAACAATAATTTTGTACAAATAAATTAATCAGGGGTGTTTTTTCAAAAGGCATCTGCCTGAGAGGCAAGGAACCAAAAGTCTGTATACTCTGCATACAAATAAGATCTGTAAAAATGGAACGTGCAAGCAAAACTCAAATTCCTGAATGAAACAAGTTCAGAACAACCAGAACTTAAGAAGAAAAAAAGAAATTATATATTGAAGGAGAATTTAAAAAAAAAAACTGAACACATTCAGTTGATACGTGAGGTGAATGTTTTATGTTCACATTATCTAATGTGATGGATGTTTCAGTGTGTTTTTCTGAAATCAGCTCGTCCTTTGGCAAACACATGTACCTGTTATACCTATAACTGTTATGCATTTGAGCACAAGGGACATACAACATACACACACACAAATTGGCGCTCCACTTCTTTGCAGCATCTAAAATAAATTTCCAATGAAAGCATCAAATCAGCACAGGAAGATGTACACAGAGGTTAGATGTGCATATCATGTGCAACACACACAGAAAAAATCCACAGCCTCAACAACAGACCACAGAGATGTCAAAACTGAACTGCACAACAGACCACAGAGATGTCAAAACTGAACTGCACAACAGACCACAGAGATGTCAAAACTGAACTGCACAACAGCCCATAGAGATGTTAAAACTGAACTGCACAACAGACCATAGAGATGTTAAAACTGAACTGCACAACAGTCCATAAATAAACCCACAAACAGAGCGCTTCCGATTAGCGATCTTTTGTGTTTGACAAGTCTGGGAGAAAAAATCAGAGACTGATTGATTGGTTTTATCCTATGAAAGCTATTTTTTATAGCAGACTTTACTACCACTATTTGACAAACATGATGAGAAATCAGGGTCTTCTTCTTCATTATTTACCTTTAAAATGGCATCTCACATGTTGCGTTGTGGTTCACAGCTAGTCTGTGATGCCTGGACATGCTCACCGCTGAACTAGAGAATGTGCACAACTATGTGTAAAGCGTTGAACATTTTTTTTTTTTCCAAGACACTGACAACCAGCCCAGGCATTTATAGCCTTTTGGGTATTTTCACCATGCAATTGTACAGTCTGCCAAGGTTTCTGAATAGTATGTTATCTGTCAATTAATCAGGTGTCATCTTCACAGTGAAGTTTGGCTGCAATAGATCTCCATCATGCTGTCGTTTGCCCTGAAAATTAACTCTCTGAGACTTCTGTTTACCTATCTCTTTTCACTATCCTCCCACTTATAACACTGTCTGCCTTTTGCTCAATTTCCTTCAACTTTTCCCTCCAGTTTATATTAGTAATATGGAGGAAATATTTAAAATTTCTTTTTTTTTTTATTTCCATCAGCAACTTTCTTTTCATTCCTAGTCCCTTCAAAACCTGTGTATTTGAGTGTTTGTTTCTGTAAGGTGAGTTAGGAACGGACATCACAGTACTCCAGGATACTCCCATACACGTCCTGTCCTCATCACCAGCAGGAAGCTCTGATTTTGATGGTGTCAGTAACAGTTTCATTATATGTCACAGAGCATGGATAATCATTGTAATCATGATCTTCTAGGTCACAGAGCATGGATAACCATTGTAATCATGATCTTCTAGGTCACAGAGCATGAATAATCATTGTAATCATGATCTTCTAGATCACAGAGCATGGATAACCATTGTAATCATGATCTTCTAGGTCACAGAGTATGGATAATTGTAAACATGATCTTCTAGGTCACAGAGTATGGATAATTGTAATCATGATCTTCTGGATCACAGAGCATGGATAATCATTGTAATCATCATCTTCTAGGTCACAGAGTATGGATAATTGTAATCATCATCTTCTAGGTCACAGAGTATGGATAATTGTAATCATCATCTTCTAGGTCACAGAGTATGGATAATTGTAATCATCATCTTCTAGGTCACAGAGTATGGATAATTGCATCTGTAAATAAAGAAATGTAACTACAGCTCTTCTTCTTGTAGTCTGTGACTGTCTACCTTTCTGTAATTACCACCCTAGTGACTGAAGCTGTTGCACTAAATAGTGATCCTCTGCAGTCTGACAAATAAACGTCTGTCAACTGCTCCTATTTTTAATTCACCCATAGTTTCTTCTTTTTGTTCACCAGATGCAAACTCTGGCGGAAAGTTTGGGGTTGTTCATCCATCTGTGGACTTCAGTCTGGCTCCAGAACCCGCATGCATATCGGTTTTACAGATCTGACTTATTTGTAAGCAAACTGTTGGTTCCTTGCCTCTCAGGCAGATGCATTTCAACTTTAAAGGAAGCCTACACTTAGCTGACTATTGATGTGCTTGTTGGGGAGACACTGTGTCTACTGTTTTCCATACAGTGGGGCCCCAGAACCTGCACGGGGACCCTATGGATTCACATTACCAACTTTGGAGAATTATATGAGTATTTCACCTTTATCAGCAGTGTCCTATAGGTTGACAGAGGGAACAAGGTGTCATACTTCCCCTCTGACAGGGGATATCCCTACCCATCATCCAGTAATGTCTTTTAATTATCAGTACATGCCATTCATACAGGTATATGAAATAAGAACAATACAAATTTCTTAAATTCTGAACTCAGAATCATCGTAAAACAAACCCAAAAAAAAAAATAGATTAAAAATTACTCATGAGTTACCTCTAGTTTTGGCTCAGTGCAGCTTTTATCCTTTTCAATTCCATATGCCCTCATGAGGTCACGAATCTGACCAATGACAACAAGCAATGCATAGCCCAAATAGGTCAAAATGGCCACCAGAAGAGGTGTCTCTTCAAAAGATTCGTAGAAGTCATTGTGCCAGTTTGACAGCTGAAAACAAAATAGTTAAAACTTGACTGCTAATAGAATAAATAGTTAAATAGCACTTTGTTTCGGAAGCTGAAATATTTTGGTCACATCAAGTGCCATGGCAGATTAGAAAAAATATTAGAAAAAGGCACTGTAACAGGAAGGAAGGGCAGGGGCCTAACAGCACGAACAAGGACACATGATATAAGTGACTAGTGACTTCTACTTCTTGATTACAAAAGTACAACATGAGGCAGGACAGGAAAGCTGGCAAGTGAGTTTCTTTCAAGCAGACTGTGATGAGAGTGACGTTCTGAAGGGGACAGTACAAAAGTGAAAGTCAAACAAGAAAATATAATTATATATTATAAATAATGTAATAATAAAATGATTATTAGATTAAAAGATTGGGCTATCCTCCGAATAACGGGCACATATTATGGCAGCCGCAAAAACACCCCAACAGAGCCTCAGTCACGTGTCAATTGCACACTTCTGTCAACCTAATTTGCAGTTTTCCTGTGACTACCACCACCGCTGGGAGTATCCCCCAAGCCGCTCACGCTGCGTGGAATGGGGCTAAACTAGACAACTGGGACTCACGAGCAGCAGCTTCCGCATCTCCTGCAGTTTTGCTTGTGAATCCCAGCCATCAAGTTTAGCAAGTGAGCGATACTCTCGGCGGTGGCTGTAGTTGCCTGGAAAACCGCAAATTAGGTCGCCGGAAGTGCACAATTGACACGTGACTGAGGCCCTGTTTTGGCCGCCATAATATGTGCCCATTATTCGGAGGATAGTCAAAGACTATGAGTGTATGTTGGTCATAATCCATCCACTTAATAAAATACTGGGCTCTCCTTTTACCTTTGGACGGTAGCTGGACGGCTTAGTGGAAGTTCTCTCCCTTGGCCCCATTGCAAACAAGGAGCGGAAAAGTCACGAATCAAATGACATACTTACATATCATCATACGGTTGCGTGTAGAGTTGCGTAGGCATCATACGGTTGCGTCTAGGGTTACCTATCATCATACGGTTGCGTGTAGGCTTGCGTAGGGTGTCTATCATCATACGGTTGCGTAGGGTTTGGGTTAGGGTTAGATGTGACAATTTTGACGTAGAAATTCCAAATACTGGCCGACAATTTTATGCTTGTGGGAGTGGCGCAACTGGAATTCTGCCAAATATGACGGCAATAGCGCGCGGCTGGTGCCCAATAGGTGGCGAATTGTCCGTGTCAGTAGCATCCACAGTCCATCGACTGTTTGGGCGATTATAGGAAACTCTGGCCTCAATAGTGTCACATCTAACGCTAAACTTAACCCTACCCTTAACCTTAATGCTACCCACGTAAATTTATCGGTCATTACAGCATACAAATCGGCAAAAACCAACCCAAAAAAAAACCCAGATTTCCCGGCAGCGTCAAAACAAAACCCAGATCTGGGGGACACAACCAAGCATTGGCAGCCCTGATGTCGACCTCACTGTCTTCTTTGATTCGTGACTTTTCCGCTCCTTGTTTGCAATGCGGCCAAGGGAGAGAACTCCCACTAAGCCGTCCAGCTACACCGTCCAAAGGTGAAAGGAGAGCCAAATACTGAAATAATTTACAGTAAGTGTGTAACAAGATATCTTCTAAGTTTTCATCAATTTATTATCTTTACTTTCACAAAACAAAACTAATAAAATCATATTTTAAATCATTAAATTAAAACAAAACCAAGCGCCAGATAACGTGACATGACTATCTGTCCAAATGTCAACAAGTTGGTTTCATGTCCGGTTTTGATTTTTAATGTCGAACTTTCCGGCAGTATATACACAACTTTATAACATATTTAGAGGTACACAACTGTATACCAATATTAGAAAATAGACAACTTAAACTTTAAAATGTTTCTAAAATTAAATAAATAAATTGTACACTGTATTAAACTTATGTTCAAACTACTACGATCAAATCTAAATCTAAATCCTCACACTCACTACTCCCCTCTTCCTAGTTTGACTAAGTCTAAGTTTCCAATGGCGACCAAAAAATACAATTTATTTCATACTTACATGTTCATGCTTTCCATTTTTCCCGTTTACCCCATTTTTCTTAAATCCATTAACGTGTCCCTTTTCAGGCTTAGGAGACCTGTGCCCATGTGCAGCTGTGTAGGTTGTTATGTCCTCCCGACTTTTCTCTTGAGACAGAGAGCCCCTCCTTGTGGCCATCTTGGTTTTTGCCTACCTTGTACCAGGGGGAGGTAAGTCGCAGTCACGCGGGTACGAGCTACCGGGTTGTCTCTAATCGATTTTCGTCTGGCGTGGGTAAAGCAAGAGACATGAATGAATGGCAGAATGCATAATAAATGGAGATGTGCTGTGTGATGACAATCTGATATTGATTGTTGCATAGGTCGAATTGTTTATGCTGTAGAAATCAGGGTGGGACTAGATCCTTTTTTCTTCCGTCCCTTATCCCCAAATGGAGCATGGGCTCGCAATGAAATTACACAAAATCATCTCATTAATAATACTAATAATAATGTGCTCTTTGGCAAAGAATTATAATTATAAATGAAATAAGGGTACCCGGTTATAACCCATAAGTGCTCCGTTCTTCTTCTAAATCAAGACTAAGTCTTAAAAGTTTCAACGCAGTGCACGAACTCTGTTGCACCGGCGAAGACCCTGAAATACTTTTTGGGTAGATTTTTAACTCAAAATTTTGACTAGGCAGCGCCGTAAGGCTGCTCTTTTCGATTTCCAACTGCTAAGGGATTTTTTTACGTGCGCAACAAAAAAAAAAAAAACAAGGCGTCCGGTCTTACTACTACCCAGAGACCAGGGGAAATTACTACAAGTCCATGTGAAAAAATCCAAGCTTTCACCGGGGGTTGAACCCGGGACCTCTTGCACTCAAGGCAGACATCATGCTTCGAGACTACGCAGCTCCAAGCAAAATTGTGTGTGTGGTCGAGGTGGTTTGGGGGTGGTGTAGGTGTAGGTCATTTTTCGATGACTGTTCTTAATACCGAACCTTCATTACACATGTGGCTATCGCATTCATTACGTTTCTTTAAGCTGGTATCACATATTAATTGTATCTGGGCATTTTTCTAAGATGGCCAAACCATTTCCTCTGTTGCTATTTCACGAACTGTGTTGATTGTTGAATTAAGAATCGACATCATAGGATTCGGTACACACCATAAGCGCTCCGTCCCCATCTTCAGCAGCAAGTGAAGAGTTCAAATTCTGATGGCACCAGTAACCTGTGTGATTGTATATCCGTCTTGCCTTTCCTCGAGTTTTGAGCGCTGGCCAGATTCCCTTGTAACTCCCCGCAGCGCCATTCTCCCCAGACCGTGGTGATCTATCTGTGCCGCGCCCTGTTCAATCGCTTGTGACTCTCTCTCTCTCTCTCTCTCTCTCTCTCTCTCTCTCTCTCTCTCTCTCTCTCTCTCTCTCTTTCTCTTAATTAAAAAACGTTTTCATAATATAATAGTAATATATCCATTATTTGTTCTTATATTTCGTTTATTTTCACACAGCGATTTTAAACATACATGACCACAAAAACAATGACGTCATGTCAATAACTATATACCCTCTGTTTTGAATTTTTGAGAAACACGATTTTGTGTGTGTGTTCACTCCCCATATTATAGATAAACCCACTGTCTTTTCTGTCGACAGGATAACGCAGACAGACTCTTCCATTTCACATGTCAACGGTAAAGTAAGGAAACTAGAAGGATAATAACATTACACATCAATTGTAACTATGAGTTATGGGGCGTTTTTTTCCGAGGTGAGTAATCCATGCAGTGTCACACAGAGAGTAGTTTAGTATTAGTTTGCTGTGTGGTTGGCTTTTACTTGTAATGTAAATATGGTGCCAACGACTTTGGGTGTAGGGGCGCATTGGGGAGGATACTAGTCTTATCCTAGTAATAGGAAATGCAACCTGAAAACTTTGTGTTATCGTAGGGCAGACCAGGCCCTTAGCCTTGGCTAGCAGCTGGTCTAGGAGGGAAGCTCCGACAGGCGGAGAGATAGAGCACTGCTCTTCTGATCCGGCAGCTTCTGCAGCCTGCTTTGTTCCAAACGTACTGGTGTTACCTTTCCTTTGGAGTAAACAAATCAGGTCGAGACGGGATCATGATGCATGGGCAACATATGGTCTCTACAAAACTGCCCAGGCTTTGTGCTATAGAGAGGGCTCAACAGTGAATAGTAAACTATCGCTGGACCAAGAAATCAACGCCAGGAAAGGTAAGTGTAACAACAATAATGAGCAGATTGACAAAGAGAGTTTGGGAGAACAGAAAGCTCACAATTAAAGCAAAAACCCTTATCTATCAGGCTTGTGTTCTCAGCACTCTGCTTTATGGCAGTGAAACTTGGTCAACCTATTTGAACGAGGAGAGACGGCTGAATAGCTTTCACATGCGATGCATAAGAAAAATACTTGGCACTGAGTGGCGGGACAAGATCACAAACACTGAGGCATTGGAAAGAGCAGGTATTACAACAGGCTTCTCAATGCTCAGTCTACGAAGACTCAGGTGGCTGGGTCACACCTGGAGAATGGAGGACGGAATAATCCCTAAGAGCATCCTTTATGGTGAATTAAAGACAGGAAGTAGATGTCGAGGCCGACCTCTACTACTGTATAAAGATGTGTGCAAGCGGGACATGAATGATACAGGTATTGAGGTGGACTCAAAGTAACAAAATGTCATTAACCGTGTTGTATGGAATGGATATATCAGGAAGAAAATGAGAGTGAAGGAAGAAATGATTGTAGAAAGGATGAGAGCTGAGCGTCTAAAAAGAAACGGATTAAAAACAAATGTTGACAACAATGGTCCTGAATGAAACCCCATGCTATCATTGTGGAAGACGTTTCTTGACACGGGCATATCTTGCTAGTCACACTCGCCATCGCCATGGGCTGTGAGTCTCATGCCTCATAATAGCGCAATACAACACTATCGTCTGGAAAGACGGAAAAGTGCTAATCAATCAATCAAATCAAAAAGAGGGCTGCATAATCTCGACGCATGGTGTCCGCCTCGAGTGCTTGAGGTTCTGGGTTCAATCCCCGGTAAGGGCTGTGATTTTTTTCCACGTGGACTTAGACTTCTTGTAATTACCCCTTGCCTCTGTGTAGTGAGATCGGACGCTCGTGTGCATTGTCGCGCACGTAAAAAATCCCTTGGCAGTTGGAAATCGAAAAGAGCAGCCTAACGGTGCTGTCCAAGCAAAATTTGGAGTTAAAAATATACCCAAAGTATTTCAGGATCCTCGCCGGTGCTACAGAGCCTGTGCACTGTGCTGATCTTCTTGGGACCCATACTTGAGTTGGAAGAAGAACGGAGCACGTATGGGTTACTACCCGTGTGCCATAGTGTTGATCCGTTGTTCAAACTTCAAAATTGGAATCAGAAGGCCAGCCATAGAGATAAGTCAAGGCAGGTGATATCTGCAGCAATGAACCTCAAAGGCTCGGAATGTTGAAGAAGAAAAGGAATATTGAAACTATTATGTATCACATTAACGTCCTGTGGGTTTTGATTGGGATGGATACTGTATAATGATTGTGTCCTTATCTTACGCTTTCAAATACTAGTTTTATGTTTATTGAATGTATGTCTCCCGTCGGCTCTGTGGCCAAGTCGATACGAACGCTTCGTAATGCCGGGGTGCCGGGTTCGATTCCAGCTGCGTTGGTTTCGACAGTGGTATCAGGGGTCCCCCCGTCCAGAAAGCAGTGGCAAACTAATGGACGTAAATTTGCCTAGAGAAGCCACACAACAGCCAGGGGCTGCTGGTGTTGGTTCTGCAACGTCCTGTAAAAGGATACGCAACTAACCTTTTAATGGTTCCCCGCATAACTGTTTAGGGGCTATAATTGTATTTTATAACCATAGGCACACAGTGGACGATGTGGTAAAAACCACGCCGGTCTCCTTTACTTCCCGGGATTTTACCTGGTATCCATTTAAGCTCGGTCAACCTAGGAGCCAATGTCATTTCTAAAAAAAAAAAAAAAACCCGGCTCCGATTGAAGTCGAATCACGACCTTCTGATCCGCGTTATTGATTGTAGGTGTCCATATAACTGTTTCACAACTTGAGTTTTGCTTGATGCTAGACCCAAATATTTATAGGTCAACCACCTACCGGCTTGTGTGATGTCCTGGTGGGGTTCAAGAAGATAAAGAGAGAGAACCAGCATTCAGTGAAGGCTGTCGTCAAAATTCCACCAGCCGCCTTTACTTCCCAGGATATAACCTGAGGACGGGAACCTAAGACTTTCGCGCCGAAAAGGCAGCGTATAGCCATCCCCGCTAATGGGACCTTCATTTACAAAATTACTGTTTTCTTTCAGACAATATCACGTGACTGCAGAAGCATATCATCATGATCCATTGACAACATGAATCTAGAGCTCGACTCACGAGAGTTGTTTTGGGTGTGTGTACTGATTTTGTGTGGACCTTTGATCATTGCTAGCTACATCCTGTCCTTCGTTAAAGCTTTCAGGTAAGTTTAATAATTGATTGATTAATTGATTGAATGATTAACTAATTGACTGATTCCGCTGCTATGCAAGAAAAAAAAGGAGGAGAAGAAGAAAAAGAAGAAGAAGAGAAGAAGAACAAAAAGAAGAAGAAGAAGAAGAAGAAGAAGAAGAAGAAGAAGAAGAAGAAAAAGAAGAAAAAAGAAGAAGAAGAAGAAGAAGAAGAAAGAAGAAGAAGAAGAAGAAGAAGAAAGAAGAAGAAGAAAGAAGAAGAAGAAGAAAGAAGAAGAAGAAGAAGAAAAAGAAGAAGAAGAAGAAGAAGAAGAAGAAGAGAAGAAGAAGAAGAAGAAGAAGAAGAAGAAGAAGAAGAAGAAGAAGAAGAAGAAGAAGAAGAAGAAGAACGACAACAACAAGAATAGGAAAAAGAAGAAGAAGAAGAAGAAGAAGAAGAAGAAGAAGAAGAAGAAGAAGAAGAAGAAGAAGAAGAAGAAGAAGAAGAAGAAGAAGAAGAAGAAGAAGAAGAAGAAGAAGAAGAAGAAGAAGAAGAAGAAGAAGAAGAAGAAGAAGAAGATGAAGAAGAAGAAGAAGAAGAAGAAGAAGAAGAAGAAGAAGAAGAAGAAGAAGAAGAAGAAGAGAAGAAGAAAAAGAAGAAGAAGAAATAGAAGAAGAATAAGAAGAAAAGAAGAAGAAGCGGCAGCAGT